TCGCCGCGCAATAGGCTAGCAACCGGTTCTTCCATTTTGGGCTCGTCCCTGGACTGACACGCTTCACCCGCCCTCCGTATAGTGTTTTCTTTCCATCCCAGCCTGGATCTACCTCATCGGTACCCCTCGCTGGCCTAGAACCCGAAAATTTGCCGAACCTCATGCCATGCTTGTCGTGGACCTTGTCTTCACAGTCATCTGGCTTTCTGCATTTTCTACGCAAGCCGCCTACAACACGTCTGGTCTCTGTGGTGGTGCCTGCTCCCTGAGCAAAGCCATTGTTGGCCTCGGCGTCTTTGAGACGTGAGTTCACCTTCGGTTCACCTTCCGACGCTCTCCATCCGATGCTCCCCTCCGATGCTCCCCTCCGATGCTCCCCTCCGATGCTCCCCTCCGATGCTCCCCTCCGATGGCTTTCGCGGAAATATGCCAACAACTCGACTGAAAATGCTAACATCGCCGCAGCCTGGCCTGGATCGGCAGCACTGCCATCAGCATTTTTACCCTCCGCCACTACCGCTTTCACGGCGAGCTTCCCGGCTACGACAAGCGCCGCATTACCAACGACAACATCGATCCTGACAAAGCTGCCTTCTCTATGGCGCCTCACGACGACGAGGCCTATGCCCCAGTCCAAATGGACGACCACCCGGACCATCACACAGATATTGGTTACGGCGGTAGCGCCAGCGGTGCTTTCAACGACAACCCTTACCGCCCAGGCGGTCGCTACGGTAGTGCCGACGACGACGACCCGAACCGTTACGGTAGCTTGCCTTCCCGCCACAACGCCATGTTCGACTCCGGAACCGATTACGGCCGCCAGCCGACCCCTAGTATGACCGGCGCGCGGCAACCCAGCCCTTACGGAGGAGCCGCGGCAACCAGCCCCTATGCACCTCCTACGGCCCACGATGTTGTCGACGACAGTGCTCCCGTCCAATTCCCTCCGGCTGACTACGACCGCACATTGCGATGAAGAGTTGCACGGTACGATCATGTCTGAGGATATTATAAATTCTGCCAATGACGGATACGATAGATTCGTTTCTTCTTTTTTTCTTAGTTTCTTATTTTCTTATTTTCTTATTTTTTTCGTTTTTTCCCCCGCCTCTTTGTTTAGTCCCGGTGGGCTAGTGTGGTCCGCGACACGATCTGTAGCGCATAACTTTGTATTCAAATCAATGAGCTGGTCTTCTTCTGTGCGGGATTTGGGGAGGGTGTTGGTGGCGTCGAATTCATATACCACGACTGGTAATTGCGCAGATACCACACTGGTTGGTCTTGTTACTGTTTAATGAAAATGGACGACGCTCGTCTGTTCAGCGTTCAACATGTATTGGAATTTCATATGCTGAAATTTATATGCTGTTGCTACCTAGGAGGTTAGCAAAAGATACTTTCCCAAACGCCAGACTCCTTTGTCCAAACTCGAGAAACAGATGCATGAGGTGGTTCAAATGAAAATGATCATGAGACTTGGTTCATTATCCCATATCAATGCGACGCCTGCCACTTCCTGATTCTCCGCGCAATGTCCGCCTCGGTCTGCTGCATCGGGTTCAGCTTCCGATCCCTCGCCATGGCCGCAAAGTTATCCCCGTGCCGCGCGACCAATCTCTCGACCCACTCCCGCTCGCGCTCGCTTTGATGACGCGGTTTCTTCTCCACAGGCCGGCTGGCTTCCTCTTCCAGCAGCCGGATCACCTCGGTCTTGTTCTCCGGATCCTCGTCGTCGTCCTCTTCCTCCTCCTCGGACGCGTATTCCATATCGACTAGTGGGTCATTGAGCGGGTTATCCCGCGGCGTCTTCTTCCTCGGTTTGCCGTCCGGGCCGATGTACTGGATGTTGATGATGTTGCCGTCCGCGTCCCTCTCGATCTTGGCCTCGCCCACCACGGCCTTGGCGGTCGGGTCGATCATCAGCGGGTCCAGCGCGGGTTTGAGGCGTTTCCCTTCCTGGCGCGCCTGCAGGACTTGCTTGATTGTCTTCTCTTCGCCGCCGGAAGGGCCATTGAGGCGCGCTGCGAGGCCTAGGCGGCGGTAGTTCTGCGTGAGGGTTTCCTTCTTGTTCCTGTTGGAAGTGGAGTTAGAAATGAAAGGACGATTGAGAAGGTTTCTTCTTAAGGAGACATCGCTTAGATCGTCGGACGGGGGAATTGTCAAGAGAGGACAACTCACCAGTTTTGGGCGATGATGTTGTTGCCCCGCGGGTTGAGGGGGCGCTTAAGCTTGTTAGCTTGCCTGATCTTGGGCTTGCCAGAGCGTCTCTTTCGGTTCTGAAGTGTTCGACCCATTGCGCTTGAGTGTTCGCCTTGTGGGAGATTGCTAAGATATAGAGATCGTTGACGGAATTAATAAAGGAACCGACTTTGGCGGGCCAGTTACTGTCTTGTCCGTACCCGCTGCTGAGCATCTCTAGAAATTTTGAGCCTTATCTTATCGGAATCTGAGCGTTGGCTGGCCTGATTTGTTGGTTACCGAGCCCTCACCGAACCCAGTACTTCCACCGACCCATGATCGTCACACAAAAATAGGTGGGGAAAGCTCTTATTTGCCAAATTCGGGCACAACTCAACAACAAAGAAGCGAAGCCTGCCCGGCTAGCTCAATCGGTAGAGCGTGAGACTCTTACTACAAGAGATCACCATCTCAAGGTTGTGGGTTCGACCCCCACGTCGGGCTCAATTCCTGACGCGATTCTAAATCCGCCTCATTTTTTGTAGGGTTTCTTTTTGTTCCTCCTTTTTTATCCTCTTCTTTTTTTATAGCTTTTCCCCCCTCGCTCCATCCATCTCTTTCGCCGCGATGACATCGACTGATCGATCCGATGTGCCTGTGATATAGACAGATATATGTGTTGGCAACGAATGAAATCCAATATTGCCTTCAAGTCGCGTTTTTCTGAGCATGATCTGCCATGATCTGCCGACAGCGTGGTCAGATATCGCAAGTCATAGCATATTATGTTGACAGCGATATCTGTCCTGGCTCTGGTCAGTGCAAAATTCTCTGTTCGAGCTCTGACCTAGACCCGCCCCCACCCGAGTAGGTATACAGACGACTCTATTATTCATTAATTAATCTTCCCAACAAGTCTAAGCTTCGAGGAACCCGGACCTGCAAGATTACTATGCCATTTGTTTGAACGGACAATGCCAATTGACACGTTCACTGCGGGATGGTCCACGGAGTATGGCATATTTTAACGAGCTACGCTAATTAGGTACTCGATGCCCCTCCGAGCTCCAAAGGAGGCCATCAACCCCCCACTGCGGGGTAGTTCACCAGTACTTACTCTCTTGCGTCACAGTTGGTACAGTACTCTCTAGGTACATAGCGTGTCTTTTCCTCCCGCGTCTTGCGAAAAGTACTGAGGGCACCTTTTCTTTCGAGTTTAAGACAATTGACTTTCCGAGGGTTTGATTGAGGCGTCTAGGCAGCCACTATGACCGGGCGAACTGCTTTAATTACTGGATCGACGGGTCTCCTTGGGAGGCAAGTGGTGAAGGCCTTCGAGTTCAGAGGCTGGAACGTCAAGGGAACCGGCTACTCTCGTGCCGACGGGGTTTCGATTCTCAAAGTGGACTTGGGAAAGGCCAGTGAAGTCGAGAAAGTCCTGGACGAGACCAAGTATGTCATGGCTGTCCTGACCCCGAGCGCTTTCGTGGAAAGGGTACGCACGAAAGACATTGCTGCCGGCCAACTGCTAATCATCTTTATCTCCTAGACCGCAAGTCGTGGTTCATTGTACGTTTTCCTCGACCATATAAAGACCTGGCCACCGCCGAGATACTCCTACCATTAACACGAACCGTTCGTACAGGCGCTGCCCAAAGGTTTCCAGACAAAGTCGACAAGGACCCCGAAGCGAGCAAGGCCCTCAACGTCGAGGCCACAAGATCTCTGGCCAAGCTCTGCGCCGCACGGGACATTCTTCTCATCTACATCTCGACGGATTACGTCTTCTCCGGAAAGCCTGGGGAGGCACCGTACGAGACAGACGCTACTCCCGGACCGACGAATCTCTACGGCCAGACAAAGCTCGACGGGGAGCTAGCGGTCTTCCATGAGTACAAGCAGGCCAACAAGGAAGGTCTGGGCATCGCCCTGCGGGTACCGGTGCTGTATGGCAAGGCGGAAATGCCAGCAGAGAGCGCGGTCAACGTGCTGATGGACACGGTCTGGAAGGCACAGGAGGCGGATGGCAAGATGAAGATGGACCACTGGGCGATCCGGTATCCCACCAATACCGAAGACGTGGGTCGAGTTTGCCATGGTGAGAACGGGTGTCTCTTTCTTTTCCCCTCTCTCCTCTCTCCTCTCTCCTCTCTCCTCTCTCCTCTCTCATCCTCTCCCTCGTCTTCTTTCACTCTCTGGCTTTTTTCTTCTTCTTTTTCTTCTTCTTTTTCTTCTTCTTTTTCTTCTTCTTTTTCTTCTTCTTTTTCTTCTTTCTTTTCTTCTTTCTTTACTCTTCCCTTTTTACCCCCGACCCCGGCAGTAGCTAACATGTGTTTTGCAAATCAGATGTGGCCAATAAATACCTCGACAGCACGGACAAGAGCTCGCTTCCCCGCATACTTCAATTCTCGAGCGAGGACAGCATGACCAAATATGAGATCTGCCGGACGTTCGCGGACATCATGGGCCTGTCGATGGACCGCATTGTGGCTAATAGCGAAGGGAATGACCCAAATGCCAGCGTCCAGAGGCCCTACGACTGCCATCTCAGCACCAAGGCCCTCAAGGACCTGGGCATTGACGTGTCGACGAACGATTTTGTGGGGTGGTGGCGGCGGGAGGTCCACGCCTTTCGACACTAAGAGAATACAGGGACTTGATAGATGAGCTATTCGGCTCGTGGGTGACCTGGGAGTCGGTAGTAGCGCTGTGATAACCTGAGTATTGGCGTTGACAAATGTCACGAAAGCAGACGTTGGAGTGAACGGCATCAGCCGGGGTACGCTGGATGAAACCTAGGGTGACAGGCAGAAGAAAGTTCTTTTGACGATTAGGGCATCGGCTTTGTGCCGTGTGAGTGTTGCTAATGCCGTGCTCCTTCGTACCTCGTATTACCATTCTTCCCGGCGGCCACCTTGATTCTGGATGCCTTAAAAATGGATTGACTTTGTTGGTACCTGAATCGACGGAGTTTTGCAGATACGAGGGTAAACTGGGAGAACACGAAACTCGAATGAGAAGAAGAAGCAAGCAAAGAGTTAGAAAGGATGGAAAAGAAATTTAAAAAGGACTTGTCACATCGAATCGTTCTAGTGTACTGCCAGATGAGACTCGGTCCTTGCCGGGGCCATTTTAGTTAGCTCCTTAATTCCCCCTGGCTAGGCCGGGAGAGGAAAAAAAGGAAGAAAAGAAGGAAGAAGAAAAGACAGCTGGTCTCGGGACGCCATCCAGCAGAGGTACGTACCCACGGCGTATTAATCGAGGGTACCTTAGGTAGCCTTCATTAAGGTAGCATGCGTTACAGCGTAATAATAAGGTACGGATACACGGTTGAGTGTTACATGACATGTGGTGCTTGTACCGCTCAAGTAAGGTACCCGGTGAAGCCCATGCAGGTATTCATTCCTCTCATCTCGTGGCGATCCAATCCTGTCGTTGATGCAGCCCAAGGCCACGGCTTAGTTCACACCTTGGATCCCTCATCCCTCATTATTTCTCCTCCCCCGCACATTTTCACAGTATTGCCATGCCCCTATGCGACTCTACTCTCGTTTGCATTCCTCGTCCATGCTCTCACGAGATTTCAACTTTTGTCCCCAAAAAAGTGGAGCTTTCCAAATTCTTCATGAGAGACAGCCAAGAAACAAGAAGAAATAAAACAGGAGAGAAGACGAAAAAATTACGTCACGCAACTCGAGAAGTCGAGACCAACGGAGGAAGTGCGACGCTGCATTGGCATTGGCATTGGCATAGAGAGACTGTTTATGGGGCCAGACGCGCAATCATCCTCCTTTCTCTGCCACTTATTACTTGAACCGAGTTCGTCGGGAATCATATCGTCCTGACCCGGACCATGCGATGCTACAAGCCGCCGCTATGAAGTCAACCCAACAGCCTCTGAACTACATTCAGGCCGGCGGTGGAGGCGTTGTTCCCCAGACGGACGCTCCAACGTCGGCCAGCAATGCAGGAGAACGTGTGAGTTTGCCTTGGTTGAAGCTTGTGCCAGCGCTGAACGGCGACAATTCAACGGGACAGCACTCTTCCATATACCAACCTCGCGCTGACAGCCGTTTTAGAGAGTCACGATCCGCTGCTTTCAGTCCTCCATCAGCCTTCCCGTGACGCCTGATACGTCCCCCGTTGATTTGCTGTATTCTTCGGCGAATCTCATGACCCACCAGTTCGATCCGCAGACCAGCATCGTCGTTGAATGCTACTTCGCCTTTGGCCTAGAACGCCGACTGCGACGATACGAGCGTATCAGGGATGTTCTTAACTCTTGGGAACGCGACAGCCAGCATTCCCTCCTCATCATCCCTGACGCTCCGACAGATCGCAATGCCGATCTTACTATCGAGTTGGTACCGCGTTCCGACGACCCGCCGCCGGGTTTCAGTAATTTTGCCCTCCAGCACTGCCAACGGCCGGGACGCTGGAACAAGCGCCTAGTTACCTTGCTGAACACCGGCCAAGTCTTCACCCATAAGAAGCCAGATGCGAAGCCTTCTGATAAAGACAGCACACTTCTGTGTAACCTCTCCGATTTTGACGTCTATCAGGTTACGGAAGAGGATATGCTGAACCACATCAGGCCACCCAAGACGCACGTTTTTGCTGTGAAAAGCCAGCAGAAGAACAGTGTTTTCCTCAACACCGAAAACTTCATCCATTTTTTCAGTACCGATGATGATGCTGTGGCCCGGAATGTCCAGAGCGGCATCCATTCGTGGCGAAGCTGGTATCTAGTCAACAGGAAAGTTGACCTCGGCCGGAAAGAAAGGGCCCAGCAGATGAACGGCGATACGCCGGCTGCCCACAAGACCGTGGGTATTGTCAAGAGCGGCCACCACCGTCTCAAGGTCTCCGTCGATGAGACACCTTATACTATTGGGACTTTTAGCCCGCTCCTCGACTTGGATAGGTTCGACAAACCAATGGAAGAATTCGGCAAGGATTTCCTTCCCGAAACAGGTGGAAACCCGAACCCGACCTCACAACCCCTGGTTCACAGGGCAAAAACAAACCCGGGAAACTCAAGGACGCCAGTGGAGGTGGTGACGCCGGCGACGTCTATTACGACCCTCCCAGTACCTCCAAAGTCGCCAGAATCTTCCGCAGAGCGCGTCGCAGCTTTCGCTAAGGATAACGAATTCAAGACAAGCGGCTTATTGGGCAAGGCATACGAGGACCGCAAGCTGCACACTGAGTGGAACTCGGGGGATGAACCTAGCAGCGGAGGCCCTTTTACCGGAGGCCTGCTGCAGCACCATCAGGAGCTCGGTCGACAGGCGACGACCAGGTGGCCCGAACGGAGTTACACCCCTCGAGGGTCGGCCTCACCCCCGATGAAACAGCCCAATGCTATACCTACATGTATACCCTTGGATCAACCGCCCCTTCAAGGCCCTTTCACCGGCGGTCTCTTGCAGCAACACGCGATCGACCAGCAGAATCGACGACCAGGACGGAGTAATACCACAACCAGACGACCGCCAACATCATCGGCCGTTGCACAACCTTCTGCCACCAGTGCTACTAGCACAATGCGCCCTCTGACACGGTCCATGACCGTTTCTTCCCGCCCTACCACGTCGGACAGCGCTTCCTACGCCAAGCAGCGCGATAAACCGGGCCCTCTCCTCGACGTTGCCCCCAAGGTCCCGGAAATCTCGTCGTACTGGCGCAGCGGCCACGGCCACGGTGTCCGGGCACCGACTGGCCTGCCTCTTATCAGCATGGCAACAGACACCCGTCCGGGATTCCAACAGCCCAGCGGCATGGTGCCTGGCATGATATCTCCGCCCATGAGCCCCCCCCTTGCCGGGCTCGCCAGGAGAGCCACCACCAAGACGACGCAGTCGGCCAAGCCGGCCAAGTCAACACAGATGACCCCTGCGCTTTCCGCAGGCGCTCCTCTACCGCGCGCTTCGCCGTCGAGGCCCAGGAGCCAGTCCACCACCACCAAGGCCGCCGCAGCTGCGGGTCGACGCTACGTTTCGCACGAGAAACCGCCTTCTGTCCCCGTCGTCCCGCCTATTCCTTTGCGCACACCTCCCGTGCGGTCTTCCCGCCGCAATGATGATGAGGACGTTCCGCTGATTAATTTCGTTGATCGGACGCGGAGCCGGGACCCTAACAGCGGCGGGAGGGGTCCGGATGCGAGGAGTCGAAGTGGGACGATGATGGGGTGAACGAGGGGGTTAGTGTGGTTTTACTGCCCGAGTAAGGAAGCGTTCAAGGCCAGACGATATGTATGATACCGAGACGTATGGATTTCATGTTTCCCCACCGGATGGCGATTCAGGCTGGTATTTAAAAGGAAAAGGGAGGCGGGGTGAGATGGGGATGAACTGACGGTTTGGACTATACGATACCCGTATTTTAACAGTTGTCATAGCAGCCCAACTCAAAATGGCCGGATGGATGGGACCGCTCATGTGTTTGTTTTCAATATTTCTTTCCTTATTAATCTATCGTGGTGCGGGATGCGTTTTGGATCGAAATTCCCGGAAACTGCCACAACTCTCCAGCGGGTTCCAACACTTCACCGCAGCATATCTTCCTCGACATGTTTAACCAAGCAACAGGAAAGCATCGTATCTGCTTGCGGTTGTTCATTAGATTCCGCCAGGTCATGTGTGTCCCAGTTCTCTCCTGTCCCGGTAGGCCAGTTCGTTTCTCCCAGACCTGCCCTTTTACCCCCTCTAACAAGATTATCACCGCGGGTATTAGTATTGCGTTCCTCACTGCTCTTCCCGTTTACTTGCTCCGCTTGTAAATCTTGGCGAGGAAGGCCTCAAAGACGGTCTTCTTGAGACCCTGGCTCTCGTCGACCTTGCTGATCATCTCGCGGATCTCGGCGGCGCGCTTCTCCTCGAACTCCTCAAAGCGCTGCTTGAGCTGGAGCTCGTCAAAGAGCTTCTTGACGGCGGCCTCCTTCTCCTTGTCCTTCTGGCCGTAGTTCTCCTCGAGGACCTGGCGCTGCTCGGGGGTGGCGATTTGCAGGGCCTGGTTGACGAGCCACGAGCACTTGTTGTCCATGATGTCGGTGCCGATCTTGCCGATGTGCTCGGGGAGGCCGAAGTTGTCGAGGTAGTCGTCCTGGATCTGGAAGTACTCGCCCAGGGGGATGAGGATGTCCTCGGCCTGCTTGAGGTTCTGCGGGGTGGCGATGTCGAGCATGTACAGGGCGAGGGCGACGGGGAGGTAGAAGGAGTAGTAGGCGGTCTTGTAGACGACGATGAAGCGGTACTTCTCCATGCTGAAGTTGTCCAGGTTGACGCGGTCCTCCGGCGCGGTGAGGAGGTCGCAGAGCTGGCCGAGCTCGGTCTGGTAGGTCACCTCATGGAAGAGCTCGATCAGGTCGACGTAGCGCGGGTGGTCGCGGAAGTAGCGGCGGAGGAGGTTGTAGATGGCGGCCTCGAGCATGAAGGCGTCGTTGATGGCGATCATGCCGACGCCTTCCTGGCGGTACCAGCACGGCTTGCCTCGGCGTGTGATGGACCCGTCCATGATGTCGTCCGAGACGAGGAAGAAGGCCTGGAGGAGCTCCGTCATCCAGCCGAGCGTGGCGGCCTTGAAGTACTCGTCGTCGCTGAGAGGCCTCTCGAGCAGGAGGGAGGCTGAGTCGGGTACAGACATGCCTCGATTGCACTTGCCGCCCATGGCGTTGATTTCAAGACTCTGTTTACCGAGAAGAAGGAGGATATCGAGTTATTATCCACCGATCTGCCTGGGGTACGGCATGAACATGGCATGAAGAGAACTTGCCTTCTTGAACCATTCCTGCTGCTCCTTGGGCAGGTTGTACTTTTGGGTGTCCTGGAGTAGGACCTCTTCCAGCTTGGGGAAGACGGCCTCGAACTCCTTGAGGGTGGTCTTTTGCGCCATCTTGACTAAAGTGGTGCGGTTCGTTTGGTTACTTGTCGGGTTATGTCGGTGTACGTCTGATCTCTAGGAAGGCAAATTGGCGTCAGACAACATGTTTTTGTTTTGTGATGACTTTGAAGCTTTCATAATCTTGGAGAACCTACCCCTTCTCAAGCTAATCGCAATATCTCGGATGGTGTGACGGTGATCTGCTGCTTCAGAGTGTTTAGGTCGAGGTTGGGAGAGATACCGCCGAGGACGACGAGGGGTAAAAGGGGAGGGTCTTGGCCAGAACAATAACAAAAAGTGCCCCTCGTAGTGCTTTTCTGGCAGGCGGTGAAGAATACCAGGGGTTCATTCGCTAAATCTAGGGTGGCAGAGGAACGCTGTAATAAGGTACCAACGAAGGTGCCTACCTTACCTAGGTACCTACGGTATGGTACATGTACCCAGGGGCCTCGGTGTAACGTCCACCCGGTCGGGATGTGCCGGGCTTTGCCAGAGCTTGTCGGACTGACGCAGAGTGGCAGCCCCAGCTTATTATGCAACTCTGTACTTGGTACTTCCCCAGCAAGGTACCTCGGAGCTCCCCGCGTCGCGTCACCCGCCCGTACATACGGACCCAGCAACAATAATTCCACGAGCCGCAGCCGCGACTGGAACCAGCCTAGGATACGGATACGGACACGCAGCGACGACTCTCTCCAATTCGTCTTGATTTTTGTTCTCTGGAACGAGGCGACTTGTGTAACTGATTTCTACCCCGAATTCCTTTCAAGATTCAGTCCGACGAATATTGATTGCGTCACAGCCATATTGACTGTCAGTCTGCCGTTGCGTTGCGTGCTGCTTCACTCACTATCGCGCTTTCCATTCTGCCGCCCTCGTTGCTTGCTGGCCAAGCTACCTAGTATGGTTGGATTCCCATGTCCCTGAACGAGCACGACTTGTCACAGCTCCGGGCCGCCCTGCAGGACGCAGTGGTCAAGTGCTCGGAGCGGTGTCTATACCAGTCTGCCAAATGGTAAGCCCTCTTAGAGGCCTCTGGCACAGCCGCCGCTGTTTGCTATCTCGAAGCGCTAACATCCCGTCTGACAGGGCAGCCGAGCTTCTTGACGCCATCCCGGCCACATCTCACGATGCGCCGCAGTTGAACGACCCCGGTGCCGACCACATGCCAGCCGTATTTTCTCCGAATCCGGATCCAGATGAGGCCCGGCTCGAGGCACAAGAGTTCAGCAAGTACCTCCTGGCCAAGTCTTTTTTTGACTGCCGCGAGTTTGACCGCTGCGCCGCCGTTTTTCTTCCCGACTCTATTCTCTCTGGCATAATCGAACCGAACCAAGATGCTCCCGGCGGCACCCCGAACAACAAGGGCAACACTAAGGCGGGCACGGTGCCCCTTGGCGCGCCTAGCAGCAGCCTGCCTGTCATGAGCCAGAAGAGCCTCTTTTTGGCCCTCTATGCCAAATTCATGTCTGGCGAGAAGCGCAAGGATGAAGACTCGGAAATGATCATGGGTCCCCAGGATCTAGGTACCGTCGTCAACAAGCAGTTGCTCCCCGTCAGCCGAGTCCTCAACAGATGGTTTGAAGAAAGGACAACAGAGGACGGCGAGGTCGTTGGTAGTCAAGGGTGGCTCGAGTACCTGTGAGTCAGCCTCTTGCTCCAGACAGTTGCATTGGTGCAGGCCGGTCCAAGGTCTAACACAGCTATAACAGATACGGGATGGTACTTGCCAAAGAGAAGAACGAGGAGAAAGCCATGGACTACTTCATTCGGAGCGTTCATGTATTCCCCATGAACTGGGGATGTTGGCTCGAAATGACCTCGTTGATATCGCGGATCGAGGATGTGAGGAACCATCCATCTGACCTTCGGCTAATGGCCCTCTTGCTAACCAGAGAGCAGCTCAACCGCATATCGCGGCACCTCCCGCAGAACATCGTGTCATACATCTTTCACGTCCACACGTCGCTTGAACTCCACCAACAAGGCCCCGGGCTGGCCAACTCGCTAGACCAACTTCTCGGCATATTCCCGAGCTCTTCTTTCCTCCTCACCTGCAACGCCCTCCTTTCGTACCACGCGAAAGACCTCGTCGCCGCTGAGCAGCTTTTCAGTCGCCTGCTGTCTCTGCACCCGCATCGGCTAGACTCGCTGGATCATTATTCCAACATTCTTTACGTGATGGAATATCGGCCGAAGCTGGCCTTCCTCGCTCACCTCTGCTCTACCATTGACAAGTTCCGACCCGAATCCTGTATCGTCATTGGCAACTACTACTCACTGCTGTCCATGCACGAGAAGGCCGTTCAATACTTCCGCCGCGCCCTGACCCTAGACAGGACATGTCTTTCTGCCTGGACTCTCATGGGTCACGAGTTTGTGGAGCTCAAGAACACCCACGCCGCCATCGAATCGTATCGACGCGCAGTGGACGTCAATCGCCGCGACTACCGGGCATGGTATGGCCTCGGCCAGACATACGAGGTCCTGGAGATGCACACGTACAGTCTGTGGTACTACAAGAAGGCCGCGGGTCTGAGGCCGTGGGATGCGAAGATGTGGGTGGCTGTGGGGTCATGCCTGCAGCGGATGGGGCGCAATCAAGAAGCCATCAAAGCCCTCAAGCGGGCGCTGCTAGCCGACGCGTACTACGAGGGGGGGGACAGCTTTGACAGCGGCGACATCCTCGGCAACAGGGGCCCCACGGGCCACATGGATCCCGAGGTGCTCTTCCAGATCGCCACCATGTACAACGATCTCGGGAATCTCGGGGAGGCGAAGGCGTACATGGAACTCTGCGTGGCGCAGGAGGAGGGCGACCTGGTGGACCCCAGCGGCGGCCTAGGCGGTTCGGTCGCTGTCCACAAGGACTCCCCCGCCGGATCCGACGACGGGAACGGCGAGGAACGGGAACGCACCATGCGCGAGGGGACAGGCGTGACGGCCTCGACAAGCCGAGCGCGCATGTGGCTAGCACGGTACGCCATGGACTCAGGGGACTACGCCACGGCCAATAGGCTGGCGACTGAACTTACGCAAGACGGGTTCGACGTGGAGGAGGCTAAGGCCCTCGTCAGGGAGGCCCGGTCGAGGATGCACGAAGAAGGGCAGCTGCCGAGCCCTTAGGAGACTCGAACTGACCCTGGTAGACGTGTTGTTGTCGTTCCTGTTGATTTGCCCCGGGTGCTGATCGGGGGGATCCCCTTCCGTGGGGCAAGGCGGGCGGGATAATCCTGTTTGACGAGCACTCAGTGGATTGGGGAGAAACGGGCTCAGGGGTTCCATGATGGCGTTACGTTTTCTTTTATGGTATTATGGGTCCGGGTGCATGGTGCAACGGGAAGCCTGACATTTTCCGGGTGGGAAATCGTGGCCGGTCACGGCTCAACCTATATGATGGGACTACGAGATGAGCATGCGTAGGGATTTTTATGCGGAGTGCATCTTGCAGGTCTTAGGAGAGCCGGCCGGTACAGGAGAAAGGTAAAGAATAGGAAAATAAAATCCCAGGGAGTATACGACGGGGTAAGCTGGCAACTCGATGTTGATCTTGCGAAGACGGAGCTCATCCACGTCTTGAAGAATGGACAACTAAAGTCAGTCAGACTGCCTATTGCAAAGCTGTGGACTTTTATGTCTACTAAGGGCATACCTTCAGCATCCAGGGCATCTCTGAAGACTTTGCTGACTCCCTCCGAGGCCCAGAATCAGAACGACGTCTGCATCTCGTCGTATCTCTCCTACAATGTGTCCAGAACTATCGACTGTATCTATGCAAACTAGTAATTAGAGACGTTCCTAACCACGTTAGCGACGATGAGCACTTCGACAATGTGAGTCTGTGACCTGCTTCGCTTCTGTATGCATTTCTTCAGGCGTTTGGTAACTTTGGTTTCAACGCACGGGATCCAAGACCAGAATGATATGAGTTGTCTGAACCCGCGAGGTAATTAGGTTGTGATTACAACGCATCCATCACCTCAAAGGCTCAATCCAGTCGTGTTACGAGTCATTGGGTTCTTAGCAACTGTTCAAGGCTTCTCTGTTGTCTCTGTTGATAGCAGGCTTCCAGTAGGCCAACATCAACACTTCTTAGGCGACAAGAGATTTCTGCCAGCCTTGGAAATGTTACCGAACCGATTAAGGAATTTCTTGATATTGTATTGTCTTTCATAATCCGTTTTGGTGGTTAGGAAGCAGATTCCGAGTAATCCCCGAACTGTGGTACAAGGTCCGGGGAGGTTGGAGCGGGAAGATTCAAGCGGGTCAATACATGGACGTCGACTGGGCGAAATCTCGGCCGCGCCAGATCACGTGAGTTACATCGGCTCACGGAAGCGAGATGCCAAGACGGCACACAACAGCTAGGGTGAAGCCACATGCAGATCGCTGACCAGTAATATGCACGGACGACAGAGTCCCCTTAATTACGACCGCATGATGCAAAAACTCGGGGTTGTGAGCTCACCGCCGGCTTCTCGCTTTCGACGCGTTCACGATCTCTCATCTTTCATTCCCCTCTTTTCTTGAGAGCTTTGCTTCTACCCACGGCTAAGGCAAGGTAGTATTCTCTGCCCCAATGCCCCATCCCAGAAATGGGGTTGAGATGCGATATGCTGCTGTCAACATGTCATGATGTCCCCAGGGGCCCAAAGCCCCATTGTCGGCACAACCGCATTGATGGGACAACTGACATATTGACAACGCATGCCGAGACAGCTGTCAATTGCGCCTTTACTTTGATGTCTGGACATTTGAATCAGAGGATTGACTTGGCCTCGCCGGCTTCGACATCCCCCATCGCACTTCTCTTCGAATAATATTCTACGAGCGACAAGTGAACGGGGCCAAATGCGGTCTTGACTAGGAATGGGGACATCACAAATATAGGGACGGCAACGAATTTTTTTCAGACAAATCTTAACCCTTTCACCATTTTCCTTCCCTAGTCTAAAAGGCTCGAGAAGCAGCAGAGACAACCCTCGATTGAGCAGCTTATGCGATCACGAAACCCACACAAACCTCTATATTACAGCGTGTCTTTTTCAGTCCAGTCTAGTGGTCGGGAGGAACACTCATCGCGAAGCGAGCTTAGCAGGTTCCGTGGTTGGGGGGGAGACCGTTGGGAAGGTTGTGGCCCTGGGAGAAGAGTTAGTCCTGGGATCCATGCCAAAGCTGGAGGTCCAATGTTGTAGGAAACTCACGTTAGGGAAGTAGTGGTTGACAGTCATGACCTCAGTGCCATTGAAGGCGCCGGGGGCAACGAAGTCGACGCGGTTGAGCCAGCTGTACTTCTCGGAGTCGGTCTCGACGCGACTGCACACAGCGTGTTAGGGAATGGACCATGTCCGGAAGGAAAAAGAAAAAAAAAAGACATCTTGATCGGGGCGTTCGAGACTTACACAATGCCGTTCTGGTACTGGCGGACAACAGCGCCACCGGTGTGCTTCACGTACGCCCAGTGGCCGTCGTCAAGCAGGACGACGTAGAAGATGACTAGAGGGGTATCATGTCAGTAAGAGACGTTCCAGAGTTCATGTTGGCTTCAGGGGTACTGACTGAGCTCGAGGAAGCGGGTGCCGGGCTCAGTGCCAGGAGTGACGATGCCGTCGTCGTTGGCACGGAGGATCTCGCCGAACTGACGACCGTGGGAGTCGTACCAGTGGCCCCTGAAAAGAAAAGAAGAAGAAAAAAGCACATTAGTTATGTGGAATGGAGGCGACGGAGAGGAAGGGCGTTGACGTACTCGCGAGCCCACCAGCTGCAGCGGAGGCCGTTGGGAGTCTCGATAGTGTGGTTCTGTGAAGTGACGATCAGTAAAGACAAATCTTTGGTTCATATCAAAAGGAGCTTCCTTACGTTGTCCAAGTCCCAGTCAATCTTGGCCTGGAAAGCAGGAACCAGCTCGGGAAGGTACTCGGGCTGAGTCCACTCAAGGAGAGAGTGGGAGGGGGGGTTCAGCTCGGTATCAGTGCCGGGGGTAGACCGAGGCCTAGGGGAGGCGGCGACGCCGAGGGCGCAAGCCAGGAGGCCGGAAACGATGGTGGAGAAGCGCATGGTGAAAGTTTTGAGACTGAAGTCAACAAAAAAGATGTCCAAAGATTGTCTGGTGCTAGGATGGCAGGATTGAGCTGCTTGAGAACGACGGCGAAAAACAGGACAGCAAGACGGTCGTCCATGGTCGACTTTATATCCCTTCTTCACATCCTTGTCGCTCTTCTCATGGAAGCCGGAGCCAGGTCGGATCCTGGGATCCAGGACCTAGGCTGCAGTACGCCTGGTTTGCCTAGTGTGAAGTAGCGTTACCCATGTTGGCGTTGGGAGTCCGGTGTGGGGTACTCGCATCAGAGCCATCGCTGAAGAAGACATGGATCGATCGGTGAGGACAAGGTAGGCAGTGGTAAGATGTTTCCATCATGGTCCATGTCCTCCCCAGCAGCCAAGACCGCCACGTGCGGATTCCGTCGGTTTCCTCGGTCCGCGATGAGTCCTTGTCGTGACTCGTCGGTCGATCTGACAGTATCAAAAAGAGTAGAATCAGGCTTGACAGAAGATTCCCTACGAAAGTACGAAATAAATGTCCGACTAGGACTTCACCGGTGGTGGATGGCCCTGTCACCGTAGGGTCGAGACAGACAACCCTGATAGATGAGACAGACATACTTGTCATTGCCCCGAAGGTCTGGCACCATTATCCATATGACCCGCCAAACCCAGAAAACACGCGGCATGCGCATTTCCTGAGGTCAACGCCGCTCCATTGGCTCCGCTTGTACCGGCCAAGAATCACCTCATTTATTTCATGCACATGAAGGAGTACATTGTAATCTGTACCGTGTACGGAGGCAGCCGAGGCCATGACAAGACGTGCATGCAGGGGCAGTTGTTCGTTAGCTATGGGGTCCATTTCAGATATCAGGCCAAGGAAGGATTGTATTGTTTCCTGCCTTAGTGAACCGTGGATCTCCGCACTGGTATATGTATGTACCGTTGTATTCGGTCTGCGTAACAGGTTAATCGATATGAATCATATGATAGCCAAGACGGCGAGGATCCGAATGTGCTTGTGCCTCGCAAGAGAACTAACTAGCACGTTGTGAGTCGTGACATTGCCTATTCCGGAAAACACGGGCAACAGCCTACAGGGGATCGAAAGTGTGCCGCGTGCGGTACCTGCTAACCAGAAGATGTACCTCTAGCTCAATCCATAAAAAGGTAAAAAGGTAAGGTAAGGTATACAACTAAGAGGAAAATAAGCCACTAAATTAGTCTGGGGGATCGCTTGCGTGCTGTAATTACTTCGTACCTAATAATCCATGCGAATGGCGGTATACCAAATGGGTATTAAGAGGGCCGTTATTCCGAGGGTATGGAGGCTTGTACGTTGTACGTGTATGTTAGACAAAATACTTCGCATCCCCATCCGCCATCACCGGACCCACTACCGCGTATGTACAGCACACAAGACGTTTTCCCCTCCATCAACAACCCACTTTGTCGTCACTCTATTAATAAACATCTTTTCGTCTCCTTCAATTATATAGATTAAGATAAAGCAGTTAAACTAATCGACTTTATTACTTCCTCCTGGAGGAACTATCATTCTCTTGTTGTTGTAGATACCTTCGGTAGGCCGATTCCGGGCCCACTCATATTAGTCACTAACGGCCCGCTCGCCTGCTGATCACGGAGAAGCTCGAGGTGGCCGGACCAACGACCTTCCGCGGTAGTTTCCGCGACGAAGCAAGGGACGGACCTTCTAGATCGCCAGCCGTGTTTCCACTATTGGCCAGATCGTAGCGCCACAGCCACGACTAACAACCACAACCTCACAGCCAAAGGCTCAAAGCCAACCCCAACTTATGGAGTACAATCCGATACCGGCAAACCCCTCTTAGCATGCTATACCATACCTTTCCCTTGATTACCTATTGTCTTGACCTCTTGCTAGCAGTTGCGTTGGCGTAGTGGAATGGACGAAATAATGAGTATGGAACTGGATATATCTCCTCGCATCCCCCTCCTTTAAACCCTTCTGCCGCCCTGGATCGACGGGAAAAGGAGCCCTGGTAGTGTCACTTGGCAAGGAGCGGGATTCTTTCTGATTAGCTAGTGAAAAAATAGGTAGGTAGAAAAGGGTACGAAACCACGGAGGCCGGTAATATGGACTAGATTCTGTCATAAGTCGGTGGCAATCCATTTCGTGGAGAGACTGCGTCGTAATCTAAAGAAACGTGGATATGTAATATGCCCAGAAAAGAATCCGATGGCGCATTGCAGCGTTGCGATGAGAGAGGATGTTGTGGGGAGTGGTGGTGTGGTGGCCCGTCTCGAAGGCGGACTCTTACGTTGTACGTGTATTAGTCCCCTGTTCCCGCACGTGGGGACCAGTGAACCCCCTGTAAGGGGTTTTTCTTTTGGACCCGTCGTTGAGGGTTCATGGATCAGGGATCAGGGATCAGGGGTCAACGCTCAAAAAGGATCCAAGCTCGGAGGTACCTATGTACATGTGTAAATGGGGTAAACGGGAAAATGCACATCGATCTCCTCGAGTCCTCCGACGAGACCCGAGGTCAACCAGGGACTTCCCACAACCTAACTTTTGCACACCGCCAGCTAAGCAAGGGTACTTTGTGCTTGCTGCCGAAGTAGAATCCCCCGTTTCTCACGTCCAGACCAGAAGAATCAGTGCGTGACACCTGCTGGTAACGAGTCAACGACGACCGTGGAAGACGACGACGACGACGACGACGACACCTTGGACCTCAACAACCAAGAGTCCAGAGACTCCAAGACCACCATGGGGGAGTCCAAACAGCCCATTGACAACACGTCAGATTCGGACCAGATCTCTGTCCCGCCAAGAACCGACACCATGATCGAAAAAGGTAGCAAGGAAATCAGCCCTTCAACAGACGCCGAGAAACAGACAGAGCAATCGCCAGAACCCCAGAGTCCTCCACCACCACCAAACGGCGGGTATGGCTGGATTTGCACATTATGCGTTGCCCTCATAAATGCTCACACCTGGGGCATCAATTCCTCCTACGGCGTCTTCCTCGCACACTACCTCTCTACTGACACCTACCCCGGAGCAACATACCTGCAATATGCCTTCGTCGGCGGGCTGTCCATATCGGTGGCTATGCTCGTGTCCCCGCTGGCAACCCTGTCAACGCGCTATTACGGGACTCACTTCAGTCTATGCGTCGGCACAGTCCTCGAGGCAGGCGGCCTAATCGGCGCCTCGTTTGCGTACAACATTTGGCAGCTGTTCCTCAGCCAGGGCGTTGCCTTCGGCATCGGAATGGGCTTCCTCTTCGTCGCGTCCGTCGGGATCCCGCCGCAGTGGTTTACCACCAAGCGATCGCTCGCCAACGGCGTCAGCGCATCCGGGTCCGGTTTCGGCGGCCTGCTCTACTCTCTGGCTGCCGGGGCCATGATCCGAACCATTGGGCTTGCCTGGTGCTTCCGCGTACTGGGACTCCTCGCCTTTGGCGTGAACGCGATCTGCATCGCGCTGATTCGGGACCGCAACAAGATTATTGGCTCCCGGCATGCGGCCTTCGACATGAAGCTGTTTAAGCGACCCGAGTACCTTCTGCTCAACGGGTACGGCTTCTTCTCGATGCTGGGCTATATTGCGCTCGTTTTCTCCCTGGCCGACTATGCGAGGAAAATCGGGTTGGATGCCTCGCAGGCGGCTGTGGTCTCCGCCATCCTGAATCTGGGCCAGGGCCTCGGGAGACCGCCCACGGGATACTTCTCGGACAGCATCGGGCGCATCAACATGGCCGGGATCACCACCTTCTTCTGCGCAATCTTGACCTTCGTCGTCTGGATATTCGCGAACAACTACGGCGTTCTGATCTTCTTCGCCCTCATTGGCGGTACCGTGGCCGGCACGTTCTGGGCAACCATCGGTCCAGTCGCGGTGGAGGTTGTCGGCCTTCAGGATCTCCCGTCCGCCCTGAACCTCGAATGGGTCATCATCGTTCTACCGTGCACCTTCAGCGAGCCGATCGCTCTCGAGATTTTCGGAGCCACGGGGAATTACCTGGGAACTCAGATCTTTATTGGGTTCATGTACACTGCTGCGGCTCTGTGTGTCCTGTTCCTCCGGGGATGGAAAATCGGTGAACTGAACGAGATTGCGAGACTGAAGAGTGAAAACCCGGATGATGTCCATGCTGGGGATGCTGGGATGGGATCGACAAACGAAGCGGCAAGGGTCGTAGGGAGAGGCACCATGTGGAAACATTTCTGGGAATGGCGCAAAGTATGAAGGCCTTGGCATTCGGTGAGTTGAACAACAAACGGACGGAAACAAACAAACAAAAAAGGAAAACAAGGGGAAAAAAAGTTGTGAAATGGTATACGGGGGTTATTTCTTACGGACACACGAACATGGACTTGGAACTATCAGCTTACATGACTGGCGTTATTGCGCTTATAGCACGTACAGCCTATGACCCAGAGTAGATACGCATCAGGTATAGATAGACATGACTATCATTAGATTTACATTGGAAAAACTTGCAACTCAGACTCAATCGATTCTCTACACTCGACCACTCCTGTATTCACATCATTATTGTCTAAGATCGTGTTTGCGCATGCATATGTGGTTTGTCGTCCAACCATCCATCCCCTGCATGTGTGGACAAATATGGCGGATTTGGCTGGAGTGCCGGTCCTCCGCCCCCCCTGTTCGGTCCTCCGGGTACACTTAAACTCTTTCCAGACTAAAATCCACTTTATCTCCACCACCCGAAATACCTAGGTATATTCCTTAGGGCTAGGGTTCCTTCTTCGTGGAGTCTTTCTTCGTGGAGTCCTTCGTAAAGGCCTTCTTCGTGGAGGCCTTCTTCGTGGAGGCCTTCTTCGTAAAGGCCTTCTTCGTAAAGGCCTTCTTCGTAGGGGCAGAGTCCTTATACGCGTTCTATCTATCTACTTATATTAGGGTACCTAGGAAACCTACCTATTTCGGGTAGTGGAGATAAAGTGGATTTTTAGTCTAGAAAGAGTTTAAGTGTACCCGGAGGACCGAACAGGGGGGCGGAGGACCGGCACTCATTTAGCTGTGGGTGGTGGCCGGGGAAGAGACTGACACGATGTAACTCTAGATATTAACAACAGCAGTGAATTATTAGTAAGTCAAGAATGTCGGAAATAAAGATTGAAAAACAGTAGAGGCCCAGGGCAGGAGAAGGGAACAGGGGAAAGAGGAAAAAAAAAAAAAAAGGGGGGGGGGGCGTGCATGGAAATCGGGCGTACAATGTAATTACATCATCGGAGTTCTTTTGGCCGAAACCGGAATCCGGCATTCGGTATTCAACATGAAGGTACCTTATCGGATAATACCGAAGTAGTTTTATAGAACGGACTGATGGGGGGCTGGAAAAGCGGCTGAAGAAGCGGCTGGGAGGCGGGATGCAGCCCCACTGCCGTCATTCCTTCCAGCTGCACTTGCAGGCATACCTAGATCTAAGCATACCTGGCAAACCAAGAGACCAAGACACCAAGAGATGCAACCGAGATGCCGTGCTCGATGGCGAGAATCGGCATATGCATAGAACAATTACATGCACAAGAGTGGGACTCAGGGCCCGGAGTGAGGAAAAAAAGTCTTTTTATTTTTTTCGGTACTGTACTCCGTCCCCAAAAAATAGCTCTACCTCCCATTTTAAATTCATTTTTAAATCCAGTCCGAAAATGAATGTCACTGGCTGTGCTGTGCATAACATGGGTAAAAAGGGGAAAACAAACAACATCCGGGGAGAGCTAAACCACTTTTGGGAGGGGGCAACAATATAGACCGCCAAACGACGCCAGTGAACTTCCTGTGTGTCCTTTTTTCTTTTCACGTCATGAGAACCCGTTTAGGTCTCCGCAGACTCGAGCCAGGCGCGGAGGCCGGCAGGGTCACGGCAGCGGAACTTGATACCGGCGGACCAGGGGATGGCCTGGGCCTCGGTGGGAGTGGCGGTGTCCTTGATGGCGTCCATCTCAAGAGAGCACTCGCGCTGGGCACGGAAAGGAGGGAAGACCGCCTTCTTCTGCTCCTCGCCGAGGGGCTGGCGCTCCCAGGTGAAGAAGTGCAGGAGAAGGACGAGAGTAGAGTAGAGACCACGGTTGGCCACTAAGAAAGAAAAGGGGCGTTAGCTCATCATGGCCGGGAATAAAAAAAGAAAGACGGACCGATAAAAGGGAGGGGGACGTACTGTCAATGCCGGGGCAGACACGACGACCGCAGCCGTAGGTCAGATGGGTAACACCAAGCTTCTCACCACCCTGGCCGAGCATGTCGGTGCGGCCCTTGCGGCCGTTCAGCCAGCGCTCAGGGAGGTACTCATCGGGGCGGTCGAAAGCAACGGGGTCGCGGTTGCCGGCCATCAGGTTCATGATAACAAGCTGAAAAGGTTACTTGTTAGGATGACGCTTTCCGATATGGTCAATGATTAGGTGTGAATATCCAGTAGACGTACCATGTCCTTGGGGATCTTGGCGCCCTCATATTGGGCGCCATCGAGAGTCTGACGGGGGAAACCAAGGCGGACGGGAGTGTAGATGCGAGAGCCCTCCTGTAAATTTCATTCAGTTAGAAAGAGATACCCATCTACTTGATTTCATGGGAGGGAAGACACTCACAGTGTGCAGAGCCTTGACGTATTCGACGCGGTCATACTCATGGGGCTTGGGGGGCTCGCCGCCATAAACCTCACGGATGGCCTCATAGCCGTTCTGCTGCAAGTCGGGGCGGTTGGCGAGGTAGCCGATGATCCAGGTAAGAGAGTAGCCAAGATTGACGCCAGCAGCAACTGTGAACAAACATTAATTAGATGATGTTGCTCATCAGGTTGGGACCAGGGGAAACATGAAGGATTGAAAAGGGGGTGTGGAAAATGTGGGGAAGTGGTGAGGAGGGGGTGTAAGAGCTTGAAAGGGGGGTGTGGTGGTGTGGGGCTCTGTGGGGGAAGTGACAATGCGGGGGTGGTGACATACTGCCGGTGTAAGACGCCAGGAGAACCTCCTCGTCCTTCAACAGACCCTGACGAAGGATGTTGCCCAGAATGGAGGGAGTTTCATCGCCGTCATCAATGCGGCTTTTGAGGTCACCGAGCATCTTCTGGATGTAGACCTGCTGGGTGCGGCGGTACTCCTTGGCCTTCTCCTCCTTCTCATCGAAAGACCAGTTCCTAATTCCGAGAGCCTTTCCAGTCACGTAGCGGACCCAGCCGGCAGCGCGGAGGATGGGAATGTAGTCACGAGCGGGAGAACCAATGGTGCGCTGGCGGACTGTATTGAAGCGTTAGTCTCTTTCTTTCGGGCTTGTAAGGACAAGGATGACTTACAGATGTTGGTCTCGTTCTCAGCGAGCATGCCAACCACGTCATCGTCGAGGGCAATACCCATAAGCTGCTCAGAGACCTGACCGGTACCAAAACGGTGGAGCTTCTCAGCCATATCGACGGCGGGGCCCTGGCTGATGGTGAGGATCTCGCTGAAGAGCTTCTTCAGCTTGGGGTGGATGACGGGAGTGTAGATGGGAAGGAGACGAGGAGCAATCTGGGAGGAGAGAGCCTTGCGGGTGCGGACAAGGCGGTCGCTGTATGGTGAGGTGCCGACAGTCCAGATACCAGACGAGGCGAAATCGCTGTGGAAGAGCTTGAAGGTAGGGCGGGACTGGAAGGCAGGGCCCTGCTTGACAATGGTTTTGGCAAGAGCCTCGTGGCTGTTGACGAAGACCTGCAAAACTATGCATCAGTTGAATGGCTTTTAATCGGGCTTGTTATTCGAGAGGGGGAGAGCATACAGCCTCGCGCTCACCAAGAGAGACACGGATAACATCGCCATACTTCTTGGTCCACTCGGCAATCTTAGGGACGTGGCCATTGCTCAACTAATTTAGATGTTAGAAATTAGAATGATGAAGACGCAAGGTGAAGACCCAAGATGAAGGCAAGGTATGCAACGAACCTCGAGAAGGTTGCCAACGATGGGAAGACCCGGAGGGCCAGGAAGGTTGACGGTGTGGGGAGCACCACCGAGCATGCGGTCGAAAGTCCACACGATGCGCTTCAAGAGCTTGCGGCCAGCCTCAAATCCGCTGAGAAGGATAGCAGTGAAGAGGACGGCGCCGGCGGCGTAGAGAACACGAACGTCACGGACGCCGTTGAGGAGGTTCGCCGTGGCCTCGGCCGCGGCGTCCTTCACGGTGGAGTTGTAGAGCGCATCCATCTCGAAGAAGTATGAGGACTGAAACCGTGTTGTGGTTACTTTGGACTCGACTCCCACAAGAAGTTTGTTGAGCAACTTTGAGCTGATGAAGTGAGGTTGTCGAGACAGCACGTCGACCTTATATAAGTTTATAACAGTTTGACCAAGGGGGCGCGCTGCCAGCCAGCACCCAGATACAGATAGATGCTTCCCTCTCTCCCTTCACTCCCTTCCCTCACCCCCCTTCTCCTGACCCAGGCAGACTTCAGTCTCCCCTCCTTCTAGAACTGGGCAAGTCCCAGTCTAGCGATGCCCAGTCCTCGGTCAGAGTACGTCGTACCGCGTGCGGAGAGTTCATCCGGGTTACCGATTCGGGATGCGTATAGCTGTCTTTCATGGCTGAAGTTCTACCAGAAGACTGTGATGGCGCGTAGGGAGGCACGTATACCCAGCATCCCCCTCGGTCACCCGCGCATAGACCCACAGAACCTCGAGAATGTAGTAGTGTACGTTGTGGTCGCACGTTCCACGTTGTATGTATACCGTAAGGTACTAACTTATTGCATACGACAGCAGGTACAGTCGTTGTATACCACAATAAAGACGTTGTATACGAGTCTAAAAACGTTGTATATCACGGCAAAGACGTTACACACAGGGCCTGAGAGGCTATCCACGGGGTCGGAGCCTGGGAGTCCCACCCTGTATGCTAGTGGCACCACCGGCAGCCTCTCCTGATTACTACGTACACGGGCGGTGCCACGGAGCGCTGGGTACGGCATATTGATGGCGAACCGCTTACACTTACATCTCCAGTGTCGTTACAAGATGTACAAACTACAACTTCTGTGGTAGAGTCGTCGTATCTCTGGCAGGTTCAGAAAACACGGCACGGGCCGTTTAACCGTTTTCTCTCTCGTAAGCGGTGTACGAAAGCAGTTCCCTTGAAGGCCTCCAAAAGCGGACCGGTGCCTTCGAGAGGCGATCTCAAAGGCGGTGAGATGAGATTTCCCAGAACGGCCCGAGACGCATCTCCCGTGCCGCGTCGGAACACGCTATACTACAACCTACTAACATCATGCTCGTCATGTCAGAGGTTAGTTGCACCATCATGAGTTCATGTGATGAACGAGGCTGCTCAGACCTCTCAGTCGTCAGTTATTCCATGCGTTAGATCTGCGTGCCACTCGTTTTACTCGCCCAAATCAGCAGCTTAACCCGTTTGGGTTCTTGTCTCCATCTACCTAGACGCCCGTCGCCACGCGTCCGCATCCTCTTTTTGTGTCTTGCCCTATTATAAGCACACGTGCGATATCGACCATGATCCAACACAAGTTCCTGGGGACCCTTGTCGAGCACAAAATCTATCAATTCCGCGATCTGATTTTCTTGTCCACATCATTGGAAAGTTTCCGCATTGATACCTATCCACTGTTACGGATACTGCGTACAGTAACCCCC